CCCCAAAACCCCAAAACCCCAAAACCCCAAAACCCCAAATAATTTATAAAATTTTGAGAAATTTTAAACACATTGGTATAAATTAATAATGCCGAAAAAGAACTTCTCCAAACCTAAGCAACCTCCAAAGACTAATAAAGAAAGATCAAAACAACATCGATCGAGAAAGAAAAAATATATTGAAGACACTTTACAAGAAAATATTGACCTGAAAGAGCAACTATGAGTTCTAAAACTTGAAAACTCAGAACTCAAGCTACAGCTGCAAAAACTCCAGAATCTAAAACCCTTTCAGAGTTCTAGCTTAGTGGCTCAATTTGAGCATCGGCTGCTTGAGTACGAAGATTATGCTTATAACAAACTCTTCAAGAAAGTTGAAACCAATCCTGAAAAAGTAAGGTACTCCGAAATAGAACAGACTATTGAGAACATATGTGACTGGAGGTAAGATGATGCATATGATCTTTTAGTGATAATAGGATTGATTATATAAAATCTTTGTTTAATAGTAAGATTGTTGTAATTTGTAGAAATCCTTGAGAACATGATTGGTATTGGGTCTAAGTGATATTATGCAGGGCATAAGGCTTTTCCTATTAAATAACTGGTATGTCGATGAGAAGTTAAGGAAAAGAGGAAAGAAATATTTTGAGAAAGCATCTGATACTGAGGAAATCAAAAGTATCTTTACTGACATTCAGATTACTGATTGATTTAAAGAAATTTGCCAAAAATTTGACAAAAACCTTAGCCACTTCCATCAAAAATACAAATAAAATGTACACCTCTCCTCACTCCTATAGCGCTCAGTCCCTCATAAAACAACGTAACGCCCTTCTCAACCACTACCAAGACATCAAAACCTTCATCTCCACCCTCGACCGCTCATCCTACACCAAACAAGACATCCTCAACGACCTGCACATCATCAACTGCATCAAAACCACCAACCTCACATCCCCTCACAATCTCTACCAAATCCCAGTCAAATCTCACTCTTGCTCAAAATATGAAGCAGGAGAGTTTACTGAATAGGAGGGTTCAAGGAGGAGAGAATATTGGGGTTTTGGGGTTTTGGGGTTTTGGGG